AAATATCCAATAACTAGCAAAACAAAAGCTGGAGAGAAAAGAAATACCAAACCATACCTGAAGTTTTCATTGCTGCAGGGACATCTGAAAGCAACAAGAGAAAACACACGTTCACCTCCCATTGTCAGCAGTGCCATAAAACTGTAACCTATAGCGGTTTTCTGGTTCATAAAGAACTTCAGGATTGTTTGGAAAGCATCCATGTTTGATACTCACTGGAGAGGTAAAACTCAAGACGCTTTTATCTTTGGTTGAAGCAGTCTGTAGTATGTAGCAGGGGAGAGCTCTCCAGAGGAGCAGCCTGCTGCTAGCCTGCCCACATACACGCTGTCTAGATAATGCGGTGATGTCACTGTCTGGAGAAATGCACTCACAGGAGACCCCTCCGCTACCAGAGCAGATGTTGCACATTTATGATAACATTTGTCAGTAGTAGAAGGAAAGCAAGTAATGCTCTGTATAATCAAGTAAGTTTGCAGTCTTGGCAGTCTTATTCTTGGTGGGTTGTTGTTTTTCTTCATGACTGCGGATGGAGATCACAGTAAAAACACATACCAGTTGCAGGAGTTCTTTGAGCTGTGATTATCAAAGTTGCTGGCAATGCAGTGAATGACCTAATATAGGTGCTAATGGTCCCAGCAGAGTGCGACATGGCTGAAAGACAAGTGATAAAAGTAAAACCACTTTGTGTGGGGTTGTAAACGTAGGAACATCAGAGATGGAATAGGCAGCCTTCTGCTGTACTTCACACAGCTCCAGATTTGCATCTCTGGCTCAAGCTGTTCATAGAAGGGACAACTCTGATTTCCAGCCTGTCTGGCCCTTCCCCTATTTTCCTAGGGTAGAACTGGTCTACATGTTGCTGCATCTAAAATTTCACCTGGGGCTTGCGCACAACAGATTCAAACAGCAGAGTTTCATCCTTTTGCAGGTTGCTTTCAAGATGTACCTTGGGGTCACTCCTAGTGTGAGCTGCAGTAACACAGCAGGAAATGAATTCTCCTTAATCCTGGACAAAAACCCACTAGTGGATTTTGTGGAGGAGTTGCCAGCAGAACGAGCGTCACTTTGCTACTGTAACCTCCTCTGTGGGGTGATTCGAGGTGCCTTGGAAATGGTAAGGAAGCGCCCATCTGTTTTCTCCATTCTTTGTTAATATGCAGAGGCACGGGAAAGCAAAGCCACTTGCTCAGGTAAATGAAGGAAATTTGTTAGTGTTTAACCTCTCTCTCAGATTAAATATCTACATCTAATTCCTGGGCTGCTTTGTGTTTCTGTCAATATCTAATTTGTCAGACACCTTCTGTTTCAGGAAAGCAAAATCTGTACAAACATGATATATGTACATCATTCCAGGAATTATAGTGCCTGATATAAGACTAATTAACAAAAGTATTATTAGTACGTGACCAGGAAATTTTGTGATCACAAAATCGTCAAGTTCATCATACAATACAGGTTCTTAGAAGAAAGTAAAAGCACTGGAATGAAAGGTAATGTATTATACAAATTTCAGTGTACATAAACTTGTTTTTTACTAACTTTGTTGGGAAAGTTATTTTAAAACAATCTAGAAATCTGCTTCTCATGAATCCTGAAAAGGGGGTCCCCTTGTGATAAGAGAGAAAGAAAAAGCTTGTTATTCTGGAGGAGTGGGGGAAACGGGGCATTTCTTTGCTTAACTGATCAGACTTGATTCTTTCCAGGTTCACTTAGCAGCAGAAGTTACCTTCCTCCAGGACAGGCTGAAGGGTGATGCTGTGACAGAAATAGGAATTACATTTTTAAGGAAGGATGAAGACAGAAAGCACAAAAGAAATAAGTGAAAGAAATACTGGGAGAAGCCCATGCTGAGCGATATTTTGCACCTTTTGTTTCTGAAGAAGACATGCAGGGTAAAAATGGCTTCACTGAGCCAGGTGCTCCAGTCATACATTTGAAAGGTGAAGAGAGCTGGGCAGCAAACAGGAGGGGCAGAGCAGGGGCAGGGCAATGTTAATTATCATGGCACAGACACCAGTATAAAAGATCAAGATGGCCTGCCCCTCCTTCTCATGTAACCATGCTCTTGGGCTGAGTGGAAGTTTTATCTCGGTATTTAGTGCACGCTGGATGCAAAATATTCATTTGGACACCAACTGTTTTCAGCTAACCATGACCACCTTTTCCCTTTCTGTTTTTTGGTAATGTTTCAAAGCATGGTTGCTAGGTGGTGCTTTATTTCCCTGGCTATTTGTGGTTAGGAATAATGAATTAATCTTCTGTGATTCCTGGATTTAGTGTCTCGCTGCCAGATGCCTGTTTTGATGAGTAATGGTTTGATATTCATTGTCCTCCAGACCGGATGTCCTGCTTTGAAACCAGAGAGGGATGTGGCTTCACTGATGCAGGAGCCTGTTTGGTCCATTACAGCTCTTTCAGACCCCAAGTGCACTTTTGCCAGCATGGCTGTTCAGCCCCGTGCGTGCATGTCCATCAGGCTGCAGCACTCAGACAACTGCAGCAGTGCTTGTGTTGCTTCGAGCTATGGTCTTTTTCATGTCAGCCTGCTCTTCAAGAGCACTGGTCTTATGACCAAACTGAACGAAGCATGGCATATTTAATGTGTTGTCACTGTGGATCTGTACTCACCTAAGGAAACTCAAATAAAAATTCAGAGATTGCCACACAAGTGGTTTGCTGATTGTTGTGTCTGTTCTTACATCTTCCCCTTCGAAGTGGACTTCTTACCACAGCATGACTGGGAAGCAGAGAAATGGGAGCCTTGCAGAGACCTGAGTTATAGGGAAGGTTTAATGTTGTCCTGTGTAATGCAAAATAATATGAGTGAGGGTTGGACAAAACCCCAAGTCCTAGCACAGTACCCTACCCTCAAGGCCAGCTCAGCTTCTCACTGAAGCACTTGTTTTAAACTGAAATACAAACCCTCAGCACAGTTCAGTGAAGCCCAGAGGGAACTCTGATTTTATTGGTGTGATTTGTACCCTCATCTCCTTTTTTTTCCCTCAGTCTATCTGTTAATCCTGCTAAGTGAGGAACACTTCTTATCTTGGGGACAGTGGGGTTCATTTCCACTAGATCTGTATGATCTTCATGATAATGTTTCTTCCTTCATCTTAATAGTGTTGTACAGTGGTGATTTAGTGTAATGGAACTTTAAGAGAACAATTTTGTACAGAACAAAACCCAAGCTATTCATTACCCAGCCTTGGGCTCAGCCCAACATGCTATTTCCTGGTGCAAAAGAGGAGTTACAACCTGTGGCAACATATTACAACCAGGAAAAAGAAAATTTCGCTAACTTTTTTTCCTTTTAATCAGGGGTGGAAAGTCTTAAGGACCTGCCTGATTTCCCTGACTGGTGGTTATGGCCAGCTGGCTGAGTTGGACATGTTGTGACTTTGGCTGACCACAAAAAGATCCTTTGCAAGGCAATGGCCATTTTTCTTTCCTCCAGCAACATCCTACCAACCAACTGTTCTTCTCTTTTTATTGTTATCTGTGCTGGGCAGACATGCTCAATGCACACATGTTTTGCCGTTAGCTTTTTTTGTATTTTCTTCCTGCACTGGATTACCTCATCCATTCTGTTCTAAAGATGGAGTAAGTAAATGTCAGTTAGAAAAATGGTCGTAAACAATGGACAGAACAGTGATCCACACTGCCTTACCATTAGTTGCTGACAGTAGCTACCCTATGCAGACAGTTTTTGCTTGTCGTGCTTGGTAGCATATTCACAGAAGTGTTCCTTCTTTTGAAGGTATCTAACAGAGCACTCACAAATGTGCTAAGCTTATCTCTACAGTTTCTTTCATTACAAATGTAATTATGTACAGAAGATATGAGTGTTATGTGAAGGTGAGAAAAAAATAAAAATGCCAACGTGACTGCATACAAAACCAATATATAAATACCTGCTTCTATCCTTATACGTAGTATTTTCCTTCTCCCAAAAGTCACTTTATCTGTGAAAAATAGACTGCCAACATTGCCATCGAACTTCAAGATATATATGGAATACAATTTGTAGATTTTCCTTACTGATTTCAATTAGAAAGGCTGGCTCTGTGTCTCCCCCGGAATGCCAAGGCAACTTTGTTAACGAGACCCTGGCAGTTGCTACTGTGATTAGGAAGTGGCAACTCCCCACCCAGATGCAGCTGAGGGGATTAACGTGAATTCTGAGGGTGTTTTCACTGCAGTTTCTCATCAGGAGATGAGATGAAGAGTTAAACCCTTGGCCCTGCTGCAACAAGGAACATTTTGACACTGCAGTGGGACTGGGACATTGTTTCTTTCTCATTTATGACATTCTGCAGTAGATTTACCTTTCCTTAGATGTCAATGAACAGATGAACTGTTCAATAGGAGAGGTAAAATGGAACATTTTTATCTGAACTATGCTTTCTGGAGGCACAAGTAACAAGTTGGATACTTGTTATTATCATCAGGTTTCTTAGAAGGGAAAGAGCACTGAGCAAGTAACTGACTGTGACAAAAAACTGTTTTTTACATAGAAAATTAGATCTTGTTTTCCTTTTGTGTGTTATATTTTCAGTTTATAATAAGAATCAAGTTTCCAAGCAAGTTACATTCAGCTAGTAAAAATAGGCTCTTCCCTTCTTTCCTCCTTCTTTGGAAAATCATAGAATCATAGAATCGTTAGGGTTGGAAAGGACCTTAAGATCACCTAGTTCCAACCCCCCTGCCGTGGGCAGGGACATCTCACACTAAACCGTATCACCCAAGGCCTTGTCCAACCTGGTTTTGAATACTGCCAGGGATGGAGCATTCACAACCTCCCTGGGCAACCCATTCCAGTGCCTCACCACCCTAACAGGAAAGAATTTCCTCCTTATATCCAACCTAAACTTCCCCTGTTTAAGTTTTAACCCATAAACCCTTGTGCTGTCACTACAGTCCCTAATGAAGAGTCCCTCCCCAGCCATCCTTGTAGGCCCCCTTCAGATACTGGAAGGCTGCTATGAGGTCTCCAAGCGAGAGCTAATAAACTAAGATGAATTTCTCATCAAAACTTCCATTCCATTTTGTCTTTTTGATACTGCCAAGTACAAAGGCTTGGTATTGTCAGTCCAGCTGCCAAATGCCCCCAAGATGTTAGGTAATAATTTGACATAGTACATGCTGACATCTTTGTGGATGATGATTAATTTGCACATGCAGTTCTTAATGAACAACAACATATGAAAGCTCCCATCATGACAGATGTATTTATTTAGATGTACTTAAGCAAAAGTAGTAATGTGTGTTTTTAAACAAATCTGCTGAGGGTTACAACGATTAGCTTTTACATACAATTTGCATAGATTTCAATAAGAGCATAGAATAAGACTCATATCAGTAGGGTTGAAAGATTGCCAGTATTGCAAAGGGTTTTTTTCATTAAAACCCTGATTGACTTGCAATTGTTTCATTCACAAATCCTAAACCAGTGGGATTCTGATCTTCTTTCCCAAGTCTGACGTTGCTGCCTCTGTTTGTGTTAATATACTTGTGTAGCATGCTGTAATGCTGCTCTTGTGAATTAAAAGTATACAAAAATGAAATCTTCCGCCAGTCTTCATTGCTGGGGGTCTGAAACGGTGCTGGGTTAGTGGCTTCAAAAAAGCAATTCACATTTCTTTCTGACAGCTTGCTTGCATGCTCTTTAGCCTTGGCCTCAAAGAGCTCGCATTCTTTTTTTGAGTAGGCTTTCCAGAATTTGAGCTGAAGATAGCTAAATGGGGAGCAGCAGCGGCGGATACACTTCGCAATCAGTGCTGAAGCCATGATGGCGGTAATCAGGAACCATCCTATCAGCTGGGAAAACAGATAGATGAGTTATTGGTGGTTTTGCACAGTCATGTGTAGGAGTATAGAACTTAACATTGAAGCAGACATGAAAACTGTCAGCAAAACCACCCTGGAGTGCCTGTAACAGCCTGCTTGCTGAGGAAAGAGGGGATCCCATGCACACAGTTCAGCTAGGCTTTCAAAAGGTTGTGCACTGCTGAGGTGGTTGTTGGATTGAGGATGAATACCAAAAAAAGAGGTGGTGAAGTTCTTTCCTCATTTATATCCAGGTTTCTTAACCTTAAAGGCAAGATACTGACCAGCAGTTTCTGCGTTGTAGTCAGATTTACAGTATAGAGGGTGTAGAATCACCTCTGGTGTTCACCTCTGGTGCTGTGAACTACACCTGCTGGCTGTGTTTGATGTGATCTTGGAAAGTAACTGCTCTCCCTCCTATCTAAGCCTGTAAAAAATAGCCTTGTGTCCTGTGTGCTTGTATGCAGGACATGGATTTGACTATCAAATATGGGAATTCATTCTTGTTTCATGCATGATTTCAACATCCCTAGGTAAGTCTCAGAAGCTCCACTAAAGCGGGTGTCCTAGAAGATGCTGGTCCCTCCAGTACCCAGTGGTACTTAGTTGGAAGTTCCAGGCATAGCATCCACTTTCACCTCAGGCTTTTTTTTTCAAGTGAAAGACATTAAGTGCTAAAGAAAAATGAGTTGTGCTCTTGTTTGTTCTTAATTTTATTGGAAGTAGATCAGATATTAAAAATATTGGTCACTAATAAAAGTGATGTCACATCTTTTCTGGGTTTTTTTGACTGGTTTCTTTTAGATTTCACTGTAGCACCAGTTACAGTCAGTCTTCCTTGATTTTGCTCCTTTCTGAATTCAGTCATATAGTTTGCCCTTTCCCCACCTTTTTCTTGGAGGAGAAGCATGCTAAATATGGTGATTTAAACACTTTTATTGTTGTTTTTTTAATGCAAAAAATTTTATTGTTTTAATAATCTTTTGTACTAAACAGGAACTTATAAAACCCCAAATACTTAGAATCTCTTACAAACTTAATTCCAGGAACTAGCCTTAATGTTTTCATGAGAAAACCTGATTTTTCTACTAGATAATGACCAAACAAACCTAGAAATTAGACTGGAGTGCTGCCAAAATTTGGGGTTTTCATTTCACTTCAAACAAATAATTCCACCCAAAAGTGCTAATTTTTTGATCATGCAGCTTGCCTTCAGCACAAGAACACTTTAACAGGATAAATACCTGTTTTAAGCATTCCAGAAAATTATTAATATGTTCAAGCATTGAAATTTGTAGTCAAGCTGTCATTTGTTTCACTTGCCGGTTGTCTGGTTCATGGAGACATCAGCTTCCTCTATTTGTGACTTCAGCTTCCCCACGGCTAACGAATGCTTACAGAAGTTCGAGGTATTTAGAGAAGTGGAAAAAGAGAAGAACTGGCACCATGCCTAAGTTAAATGAGAAGAAAACTTGCTGTGCAAAGTTCTGGTGTCTAGACTGGTTGCCTGACCAGCTTTGAAAGAGGTTTTGTAAACTGCAGTGCCAAACAACTGCCATGCAAATATCCAAACCAAATAAATAGCACAAATACACACATTACTTTTCTGATAGTGTTTTGTTGAGAATGAATTTTTGCGAATTGTGTACCTTTAATAATTATACAGTGTGAGAGGGGGGGACTGTGTACACCACACATTGAGAGGCCAGGGTTGAAGCCCGTAGAATAAAGAGCAGAGCGGCAAGGCTTTACCTGGGACTGTGCCTGAAGGCTGAGGAATTCACTTGATATCTTCTCCGATAACTTCTCATCACAGGGTATTTTGACCAGCATCTCGTGGCACTCTGATCCTTTATCTTTACACATGAGGTTCTTTATCAGGCTGCTTCCACTGGCCATGCACTCATAGAACCTGGCTCTGAGCAGGGCCACTGCGAGCCAGGTGAGGGGGGCCACCACAGCTCTGGCTGTTACCTGTAGCAGCACGCAGAAGCAGCCAGCACAGGTTCCCCAGGGTCTGCAGCTGCAGCTCTTCTCTGGAGTGCAGATGCCAGTCAGCAGGTGCCACATCCTGGGGTTCATCATGTAGCCGAGCAGGAAGAGGATGAAGGCAGGCACTATGAGGAAGACAGAGCCATACAGCATGTTCCCAGAATTGCAGGGGCACTTGAACACCACAGCCAAGAAGATGTACTCGATAGCAGCTGTCATCAGGGACACAATGCTGTAACTCAGAACTGTCTGGTGGCGGATGCAGAAATCCAGTACCCTGTGTAAGGTGTCCATGTTCTGCCTTCCCTTATTCTGAGGAGAGTGAAATGTCAGTCAGAAAACGGAAAGATAAAGCCGTCCTGAAGCCAACCCCAGTTTAGAGAAGCTTGCAGAGTTGTCACTTTCTGTTGGCAGTGCTGATGCTGTGGTGCAATGTCATGAAGCAGCTCTTAGAGGAAACAGAAAAGGCTCACTGCACACTGTCAGGGTCATGAAGTTCAACAAACTGAAGTGCGAGGTCCTACACCCGGATTGGGGCAATCCCAGGTACAGCTACAGGTCCTTTCCAACCCTAACCATTCTATGACTCTATGATTCTAAGCGGAGACCACAGTGGAACACGCCCCCCCGAGTAATCAACATCAAAACAGCAAAGATTTGTCTTTGTTGCTGTAAAAATACTTTGTATTCATCCACACTATGCATTGTAACTAGCAATGGATTAAACCTTATCATTTTTTAGTGAAGATTTTCAGTGAGGCAACAGATTCAGTGTGAATAAAATGTAAGAAAACCACCCAGAACTGTGCACAGTTTTTTTATCCTGCCTTATTATTAGCGGTAGAGTATGTCTTGTTCTCTTATGGAAGGAAAGTCAACTATAATCATGTTAATTTCTCAAGCTAAGCAGTTAATATTTTTAAAGTAGTTAGAGCAAATTAGTCAGTGCACACAGCAAGTAGTTTCCACTGAAGCTACAGCTACCAGAGTGCCATTTGACAGGAATCTGACTTTGGGCTCCCTCCTCCATAGCAGGTAGTGACAGCTTTGTGGCCCAGAAATAAAATCCCACCCAGAATCATCAGAAACTAAGCAGATGGCATGAAGTGGAAGGCTTGCATAATGTACAACAAATATCTGGAAGGGATTCCTGGGCTTGAAGGACTGGGCTGCCAGAGAAATATTTGCTCTCAGAGTCAATAGCTTTCAATCATGCACTGGAGGAGCTCCTAGCTTAGGTTTGCCATGTCTAAGTCTAGAGGAGGTGAACTGGCACTCAGAATTAAGGAAGTTGAAGCTTTGTTACTTGCTCGCAGCCATGTAGCTGAAGTTCTCTGAGATGATGTAGACAGTGCGGTAGTTTGCTGTCACCACATGCTTAGTGACACCCAGATGTGCAGCTGGACTGGGAGTTGGTGGTCACTGTCATCTTCTTTGCCACTTATCTGGGATTTTAGAGTCAAAGTCACCTGCCTCTTGCATAAACCAGGAGCTCTCTGGCCTGACTGGGTGCATCAATTTGACATCAATTTGATATCAATTCCATAGGTGGACCACTCAGTGGGTAAAGAACTGGCTGGATGGCTGCACACAAAGAGTTGTGGTCAATGGCTCAATGTCCAGCTGGAGACCAGTAACGAGTGGTGTCCCTCAGGGATCGGTGTTGGGACCGGTCTTGTTTAAGATCTTCGTCGCTGACATGGGCAGTGGGATTTAGTGCACCCTCCGCAAGTTTGCCGATGACACCAAGCTGTGTGGTTCGGTTGATACGCTGGAGGGAAGGAATGCCATCCAGAAGGACCTTGACACACTTGTGAGGTGGGCTGATGCCAACCTCATGAAGTTTAACCAAGACAAGTGCAAGGTCCTACACCTGGGTCGGAGCAATCCCAGGCACAGCTACAGGTTGGGCAGAGAAGAGATTCAGAGCAGCCCTGTGGAGAAGGACTTGGGGGTGTTGGTCAGTGAGAAAATGAACATGAGCTGGCTTCAGTGTGTGCTCACAGCCCAGAAAGCCAACCGTATCCTGTAACCGTATGCTGTAACTTATACTGCACTGATTCTTCCTGAGCATTATCATGGCACAGAGCTAGATCCTCATCTCAGGCTCAGAGAAATATTCCCTTCAGCTGGGCCATCCTGATTTTGGTACTGGCTCCTTCAGACAAGATAACAAGATGTGATGCTGCCTGTATCATTCCATGCTGTAACCGGGGCTGCAGGAACCAAGCATAGTGGAAACTCGATGGCTTGTCAAAACTATGTGAGAAACTAAACTCCTTTCAGTGGACTTTTGGGTAATTTAAACCTTCCAAAGGCTCTTTGCAGCTCTTTGGGCAGCCGAGTAGATGGCATGGAGGGGCCAGAGCAGGCAGTGTTTTGTGGGTGGCTGCTGTGCTCAGCACTGAGCTGCTGCTGCAGAGGAAAAATGCCACTAACTGAAATGCTTGGCTTGGTCTGGAGGAGACTTTGCTTTGTTATTATGCAGCAGAATTGTATAATAAACCATATTTAAAGACATAACCCAAAAAGGAAGGAAAACCAGCAAGACTAAATCAGACTGGATTAGATCAGTTAGTCTGGTCACCTCTAGGTTACAGCAGATCACTGAGGAGGAGCACAGGGACAGGGGAAGCAAGATCAGGAACACACACCCCGTGAATCTGCATTTCAGGGATTTCCTTTGCATCTAACACCCACTGATGTATTTCTTCTGTAAATTTGTCTGGTTTCAGTTTCAACCCATGCAGACTTGTAACACTCAAACCATCGTATAGCAAGCGTGCTTAGCCTTCATTCAAACCTGACACCACCCCATTTGATGCCCCCTAGTTCTGGAAGGGAAGAGACAAAACAGTGGATCTGATGCTGGTGTCTCCATCAACTCTTGATCTTGTACACCTTTATCATAGCCCCCTTTTTTCCAGGCTAAGAAGTCCGTAATGTATTTAGTCATTAATTTCTTGATGTATACCTTTGTATACTTCTTTTCTTTTCAATCTCTGTTGTCACCCTGAACCATTCTATTTCACATGAGGAAAAATGGGGAATATACCAGATTTGCACTGCATGGAAGGTGGAGCTGAATCACAGTTTGCTACAACGACATGCTGAGATGACTTCATTTTCATAGAATCATAGAACAGTTAGGGTTGGAAAGGACCTTAAAATCATCTCGTCCCAACCCCCCTGCCATGCGCAGGGACACCTCACACTAAACCATGTCACTCAAAGCTCTGTCCAGCCTGGCCTTGAACACCACCAGGGATGGAGCATTTACCACTTCCTTGGGCAGCCCATTCCAGTGCCTCACCACCCTAACAGTAAAGAACTTCTTCCTTGTATCTAACCTGAACTTCCCCTGTCAAAACTTAAACCTATTCCCCCTTCTCCTGTCACTACAGTCCATGATGAAGAGTCTCTCTGGCATCATTATAGGGCCCCCTTCAGATATTGGAAGGCTGCTATGAGGCCTCCACGCAGCCTGAGCAGCCCAAATTAATTTCTAGAATTTTGCTTTTTGATCATCCGTGAAGCACTGAGTTGATATTTTAGTGAGCTGTGAATTAAAATAAAATAATCTCAGTCCTGGGAGGTAATCTCAGTCAGCTCTGGGTCTATTAATACATGTCTGAAGGCAGAATTTGGTTTCACTTTGAACACCACTTACTCTACACTGCATTTCACCTGCCGTTTTGCTTTCTGGTCAGTCAGTCAAAGAAAGTATATCTGCAGCTCTTTAAAGCAGAGGCTTGTTTTTAAATATCCAGGATAAGTTTGTATTATTGGCAAACATTGTTGCCTTGATTTTTACCTGGAGGCAGCTAGAGGCAATGGGTAGCATACCTTGAAACCAGAATTCACCATGTCTGAAAAAGTTTTAGCAGGTGGGGGGATGGCAGAAATAACAGAAGCAAGGTGAAATCACTGCAAAGGCACCTCATCACGGAGATAGGAACATAGGCTGCCTCTGAGAACCACTGGTTTAACAAGGGAACCTAATGACCAGTAGCAGCTCCCTATCTGGAGCAGATAACGACCACACAGGGGAAAGAGTACAGCCAAGAAACCCTGCTACTTCTCTTTCTGAGCCTCATTCTAGCAGTGTTTTATTTATCTGTAATAAAATATGATTTCAAGATCAAGCTTCCTGGAAAAAGGGAGGGGAGCTCTGTGTGGAAAAGGATTAAACCTCCACTCGGAGCAAACATACTTCCAGTAAACACTCACAGGAAGAGGTGGGAGAGGTAAAAGAGACCACCCTGGTTGGTAAGTGGGGGAGTAGCTGTGCTAGGAGCTGAGTGAGGCCTAGCGATGGCTGCGGTGAGCCTAGCCTTTGGGCAGCCTCTGGACGCAGGGGATGGAGGATGCCCTGTGCAGTAGGAACTGGAAAGGCAGGGGGTGCGGAGCCCTACACCTAGCTGCTTTCGACACTGTTCACCTCAGAGCCCTACTGCCCCAGGGCAGCTCTTTCTTGCCATCTAAATTAACACTTGTCTCGCTGCAACAGCTGTAAAGCATTAACTGGAAAGTGTGCAGAAAAACAGGTTTTGTTAAAGAACAGAGAATTCCAATTTAATGGTTGGTTTTGCCTTGATTTGCAATAAATGTCCTGCCTTCCAAGGGAGATGAAAACAATGTCAGAATGAAAAACATGAACATTTTTAGAACAGAATGACTATTTTTGTTATTTGAAACATCTTTTCATTTTGAAATATACTTTATTAAAATGAAAGAATCAGCTGAAACCAAATTGACTTGTTTAATATTTAATCGAGTTTGTCCTTAATGTTTTCATTTCTATCCTTTCACCTGCAGCTCAGTGATTCTTAAGCATTTTCTATGTGGAAAAAGTTGTTGTCTAACTAGTTCTGTGGTTGTATCAAATGCAGAATACTAGTCTTAAATGCAGCCTGTGTGTCTGTGTGCATGCATGCTTGGGGGCTTTGCTGTTGAGATCTACCTGTTGAGTAGATCTTGGTTTAGTCATGTTAGTAAGTCCTTACAATTGGTTATTTATTTTTTTTTGCTGGGAGGCATCGCTATTTGTTTGGGATAGCAAAAGGCAGGTTTTGTTTTTCTACAAATCATTCTCTTTCTAGCAGCTCTGACCAAGGCCCATCCTGTCCCAAATTCCTGCAATTATTCTTATTAAGCTCAACTTCCTCTTCACACTATTAATTTAAAATCTTACTCATCTGTGGATGCAATAGAAAAGAGCACCTCAGCACTGGTTTTCTTTTTATAACAACTGCATTTGCTTGCTCAAGTGAAAGAGCTGTAAGCTGCATTTCTCTGTGTCCAGTTCAGAAAGACATACAGAAAAGTCGTTTTATTCTAGGAAAATTCTTGTAATGCCTTTTGTCTCATTCCAGCTGAAATCAGTACTTAAC